CTCAGGGATGCTTGTGGCCGTCTTGCTGTTGGCAGCCGCTGAGGTCACAACCTTCTGAGGCTCCACCCACCGAGTCTTGGCCACAGCCTTCCCAGATTTGGTGTTCTTGGGTCCGGTGGCTGCCGCTTCCCGGGCAGGTGCTGCCTGAGGCCCACCAGAGGCGGCACTAGGGTCCTCCGTGGCGGCCTCTTGGGCTGGAGCAGGTCTCTTGGGGCGGGTGAAGGCCATGCCACTGACACCTGCTGGCTGAGTGAAATCAAAGACATCCTTCTGGCCCAGGAAGCCTGCCTGGGGCCAGGTGGCATCCGTTTCACTGGCACTTGGAGCCTGAGAGAAAGCACAGGCAGTACTAGGACCCTCGGCACAGGCAGTACTGGGACCCTCGGCACAGGCGGGACTAGGACCCCCAGCACAGGCAGTACTTGGACCCCTGGCAGCAGCCGCCTGGTCCAGGGAGGCCGTCTGGGAATGCGTGGAGACTGCTGGAGCCCCAGGGGCGGCCATCTCACTGACGACTGACATCTGGGATGTCGGAGGTGAGACCAGGATTGCCTCCGGGGCGGGCCCCTGAGCCTCAGAGTATGTCCCAGGCTGGGCACCGTCTCCTGTGGCCGGCTGTGTGGGCACCATGTGGTGAGCCACCACCTGACGGATGGACCTGCGGGCGGCAGCGGCAGCGGCCCGAGCGGCTCGGTTGGAGGCGGCAGAGCGGGCGACACTGGCGGCATGGGCCTCGGTCTCATTGGCAAGGGTTTCTGGATCCAGCTGCAATGCCTCCACCAGGGTCTGAGCCAGCACAGGACTTTCCAGCTCCCAGGGCTCATTCTGCAAGGCCAGAGGCCAGGGGAGAAGAGGACAGACAACTCTACACACTCTCATGGTGCTTTGCCTGTGGCCCTTTCCTCCCACTGCCCACCCCAACGACTTCCGGAAACCCCTCCTTTAGAGAGCCAGGGAAGGTTCCAGAAGCCGGCATGCCTGCCCCACTCAGTACCACGGTCCCCCACCCCACCCCCCGCACACACCCGGGGAGAAGGCCCAGAGCGAGCAGGTGGCCAAGAAGGGACCTCACCGCTAAGATGTGAAAGCCGGAACCCAAGGTGTCAAAGGCTCTGAGCAGATGGATGTCAAAGCTGGTGAGTGTGCCATAGCCACCAAAGGCACCAAACTCTTCATAGTCGCTGCCTCCAACCATCTCTGCCACCCTGACTTGGTGGCTCCCCTCATCCATGTCTTCGACACTGGAGTTTCCAGATTGCACACTGTAGCTTCCCTCAGCCATGCTGGGGCTCCCAGGGAGCTGAGAGCTCTGCCTCAGGGGCAGGGGGCGGGACCCGGTGGCAGGCTGTTTCTCTGGAGAGGTGAGGGGCAGCAGCCATCTGGTTACTACTAGGCAGTATTAGACAGCGCCGGTGGGGGGATGCGGGGTCTACAGGGACAGGCCAGTGGCAGAGGGATGGAGGAAATCTCGGAGGAAACCCCCCTCCCCGCTGCGAGGGGAGCTTCGGATGGGCAGGCTCCCCACCCCCGTGGCTAGATTTGAATCAGGGCTGTATCTGAGGGTTCAGGTCCCAAGAGTCCCAAAGGAGATGCATGGAATCCTGGAGAAACAAAGGGCTTGAATTTAAGGGCCAGAGCAGGGGACCGTGATCCCGGGATGGGTGGGTGGCAGGGTGGGGCGGGGAGGGGAGCTAATGCAGGGCTCAGACAGCAGGGACAGCAGCAAGCTCCGGGAAACGGAGGTCCAGGAACGGGGCGGGGGTGGTCGGGGGCGTTCACCTGACTGTGGTCTAGGTTGGGCTCAGAGGATGGGAGCCTTGGACCTAGGTAGGGCTTGAACTGGCTGCCTGGACAGCTCAAGGTCCAAGGACTGGGACTCCAGGAAGGCGCAAGCGGTCAGCTCAGCTGGAGTAGTCTAGGACTGATGCGGTGGGGGTGGGGCCTGGGATCTCAGGAAGCTCACTCGGCTCAGGGTCTGTCACAACGGTTGAGCTGGCAGGCACCCGGGCAGCTCCCGGCTGGGACAGGGGCGCTTGAGTCTGACGGTCGCGGTGCTGGGGGTCCTATCGCGACGTTGGGTCTCATGAGGTTCCGGTTCTGAGGGCTAGGGCTTTGTTCAGATCCAGAGGGCAGGGAGAGGGCGCAGCGTGTGGGCTTGCACTCGCCCTCGTCCGGTCCTGTCTGGGGCTGGATCCTTACCTTCCCTGGGGCTCCAATGGCGTCCGTGCTCAGCACCAGGAACCCCGCAGCCGCGCCCTCGCCTACTGCTGCCAGCACAGCAGCTCGGACCACCCCGCCCCTTTTCTCCGCGCACCCCCCGCGGCTGGGGAGCCTGCGCATGCGCGGACCCCTCTGGTCGGCCGGATTTCCCAACAAAAGCCCTTTCCTCCAGGTCCCCAGTGCGCATGCGATTCCGCGGCTGGGTGGGCTGCGGCGAGGATGGAGGGGGGCGTTCTTCCCGCCATATTTCCTTCACCCTCTCCTCTTCAGACAGCCAGCTAGCACACTCATACCCTGCAGTGCAGCTAAGCCCACCCAGTCATCTGCTCTCAGTAGCCCACTCTCTTGCACAGTGCTTCTCAGGTCTGCCCTTGCACCCAAGCTCTTCCAGCCTGGGCCTGGATACTTTCATGTCCCGCCTGCCCAACATGGCCCCTTGGGGCTCAGGAAAGAGGTCTCCAGCCGAGTTGTGTGACTGCAACAAGGAGAAACCTCCACCCGGGGGTGCCAGGGAATGGACATGGCCGGTGGATGGACGCTCCCCTTGTGTTGGCCTCCACTACCCATCTCCAGGTCTCCCAGACACGCTGGGAGCATCTGCTTCCCTTGCTGCTTTCCATGCAGCTTGGTAGGTCTCAGTGAGGCAGGGTCAGTGCCTGGGCTTGTTTTCCTTTCACAGCAGCTCTGAGAGGCGAATGTCAGCGTCCTCATTTTACAGACCCGGAAGCTGAGGCACACACACAGCCCACCAACCAGAAAGGGCCACTGGGCCTGCAAACAGAAAATGCGAAATGTGGGCCTGGGTCCCCCTGGCTGCGAAGCCCACGCGCGTCCTCCACCTCCTTTTCAATGACAGGCCTCACCTACCCAACATCTCCCAAACAAGCAACTTCTGGGGTAAAATGTCCTCAATTCTGTCGTTCAACCTGTCTGAAACCTCTCCACAAAGTTTCACAGTCCATACCCTTAGCAGGTGAGTTATGCCTTGATGTCACTTTCTCGTGGCCAGGTCAGCCCAATTAAACAGTCAGCAGTGCCTCTCGCTGAAGGAAGTGGTGCTGCAGGTGACCTTCCACTAGAGTGAGGCCTCTGTGTGGACTGATCCATCAGGTGTTTGACAGGAGGCACTTGTATGGGAACTAGAGACACACAGGTTAATGCTTTCGAGCACACCCAGGACTTGAGTCCAGAGTGCAGCCGGTCAAGATTTCCAGGTTTGAGTCGGAAGCCTCTTCCAATGATGTGAGAGCAGCCTAACAGACTTTCTTGTTCTCCAGTTTGCGTCAGGCGTTCCAGCCATCCTTCTGCATAGCTCATTCGGCAGCAGGTGCAAAGGTCATCAGTGCGTCGACCTTTGTGGTGGTTTCTCTGCACTCTAGGAGGAGAATTTATTTTGTGCTTCCTGTGTCCCAGGCACCATGACAAATGCCTTATATCGTAATATTTCCCTGTAGTAACCCAGTGGATTCTCACAAGTGTCTTTCACGATAAGGTCACTATAGTTCCTCATTTTGTAGATGAGAACACTGAGGAACACAGTGACTTGCCCAAGGACCCAGGATGGTAAGTCGTGGAGGTCTTGTCTGTCTATAAAAAATATTGTGGTAAAATATTTAACATTTTCCTAGTACAGAGCCGGGTGTGGTGTTGCACGCCTGTGATCCCAGCATTTGGGAGGCTGAGGCAGGGGGATCACTGTGAATTTGAGGCCAGCCGGGTCTACACAGTGATTTCAAGTTCAGCCTGAAGTACACATCGAGTCCCTGTCTCAAAAAAGAAAAATTTTCCTAGTACAGTATTACCTCCAAATTGTTCTAGTTTGGTGAACTTGTTGCATTTTTTATAAAGTGAGATTTATATTTTACTGACACATGTAAACATAAGTAGTACACATTTAGTGGATTGCCGTGTGATGTTTTGGTATGTGTATACAGTGTGAGGCTTATATTTCTGCTTTCTATTTTGAATGGATTTATAAAAGCATAAAATTGTACATTAATGGGGTGCTGTGTAAGGTTCTATAGATAGACATATACATTTCATAACATTTAAATAGTTATCTCCTCAAACAGTTTGAATGTCCTCTTAGTGAAAATATTGAAAATTCTTTCTGCTATCCCTTTGAAATGTATGGTATATAAATGTTTTCTGCAGTGATCCTACTGTGCAATAGATTGCCAGAACTTTTGCTACTTACTGTAATGTAATACCCTTTGGTCACATTTTTCCCATCTCTACTCTCCTGGCCTCTTTCAATCATCATTCTGCTGTCTACTTGTATGGGATCACTTGTTTTTTTAATATACCACATAGTAGTGAAGTCGTGAGTATTTGTCCTTGTGTGCTTGGCTGATTTCCCTTAATATATCAATGACTGGTTTCATCCATGCTTCCCCCAGTGACAATATTGTATTCGTTTTGAATGCTAGGTGGAATTTCATTGTCTCATTCATCTGTTTTTGAATTCTTCCATTAATTCTTTTTCTTATCAACAGTGGTGGAGTGAATTTAGGAGTACAAATATATTTTTGTCATTCTGACTTATTTATCATTTTGATTTTTTGGATTATGTACCTAATACTGGAATTTCTGGATCAATCATTGTACTGGTTTAAAATCACTCAGAGCAATGGAATTGAAAGGAATTCCAAGAATTCCAAGAATACTTATACTTAAAGTATAAGTATTCTGTAATTTTTGTCCAGGGTATCAGTAATACATGTTAGGGATAAAGAATATTTCTTATTAAATTGTGACTGTGAGAGTAGATGTCCTCATGCAAAGGATTCAAATTGAATGTTTTAAACTAATATGCAGAAATCAATTTTAAATAGTTGAAAGAATTAGACATAAAACCTGAAAGTATAAAAATCGTTAAGCAAACTTAGGCAGCAAACTCCTTGACATTGTTCTTTTTAATAATGTTTTGGCTTTTATACCAAAAATCACATGCTAGAAATGTTAAAATAAACAAGTGAATTTACATCAAACTAGAAAGTACAGGAAAGATTATGAACAAGAAATCCATATACAAATTGGAAAAATAAATTTACAAATTGTGTATCTCATAAAAGGGCTGGATCCCAAAATAAATACATAAGTACCTCATACAACTCGTCAGTAAAGAGAGAATCCAGTTTTGAAGAATGGGCAGGGAATTCAAGTACACATTGTTCCAAAAAAGACATAAAAATTACGATCAGATATGTGGGAATATATTCACCATCACTGGTCATGAAAATAATGCAAATTAGAACCACAGTAGCTTTCATCTCACACCTGAGATTGTTATTGTTAAAAAGATAATTCATGGTGATGGAAAGCACATCAGAAAAAGTCGATCTTTGTATATTGCTAATGGTAGTACAAATTAGTGTAGCCATTATTGAAAACAGTGTGGAAATCCTTTAAAAAATAAAAATAGAACTACCCTATGACTCAGCAATTTAACTCTTGAGTATATACTCAAATGCAATGAGATCAGTATGTCAGAGATATTGTAAATTATTCTCAGTAGTTATGACATGAAACCAATCTATCCTGTGTCCATCAACTGATGAATGGATAATGGAAATGTGGTATAGACATCATATGATATAATATATGTAATTACATGTTAACCATAATAGAAAAAAGTCCCACTTGTGACAATGTATATCAAACTAGAAGACAGCATAGTAAGTGCTATAATTCAGGGACAGGAAAACAAATATGTATTAAATCACTTATATGTGGCATCTAAAACAATAGAACTCATGGAAACTGAGAGTAGATCAAAGTTGTTAGGGGGACCGGGGATATAGCTCAGTGGCACAGCCCCTGCCTGGCAAGTGCCAGACAGTGAGTTTGATTCCCAGAATCAAAAAAAAAAAAAGTTGTTAGGGACTGTTGGGGTGGGGATTTGGAGATGCTGAAAAATTGTACAATCTTCTGTTTTAACATGAATGAGTTTTGGGGATCTCATAAAAGGGCTGGCTGCCAAAATAAATACATAAGTACCTCATACAACTCCCAAAATAAATACATAAGTACCTCATACTAATCTATAGCATGATAACTATAGTTGACAAAATTGTATTATACAGTTCAAATTTCTAAAAGAACATATTTTAAGTGCTCTCACTACATCTAAGAAGGGATAACTTTGTAGGGTGATGCATGTGTTAGTTGACTTGATTTTTGGCAACATTTCATGATGTACACATACTTCAAATTATCATGCTATACACTTTAAAATTAAATATTTTTTGTTACTTACACCTCAATAACACTGGGGGCATAGAAATTCAGATCATGTTTGTTAAAGCCCCTAGGAAGACTGGTCTTGTCTATTCAGGGGAAACAAATATTGCATATTATTCATGCAATCTGTAACATAATCAATAGTGTGTGTGTGCATGTGTGTGAGCATGTATGTGTGTACATGAACGCGTGTGCAGGAGAGATAGAAGGGTATGGGGGAGAGTCTGTTTTAGTCTGATTTCTGTTGTTATAACAAAGTACCTGAGATCAGGTAATTTATAAATAATAGAAGTTTATTCTATGATTTTGGAAGTGGATAAATCCAAGAACATGGTATTGACATTTGCTTGACATCTCCTGAGGGTCTTTTTGCTGCATGATAGAATTGCAGAGGGCATCACATGGTGATTCTTTTTATTATAAAGTCGCCAATGTCGTCATGGAGACCCATCCACATGACCTCATCTAACCTAATTATGCCCCAAAGACTCCAACTCGAGATTCCAATACCATGTGAATTTGTGGATTGAGTTTCCAACACATGAGCTTTTGGAGGAGACATAAAACCATAGCATAGATCATCGTTTTCTTCCATTTGCTTATTTTATATGAATACTTTTGTGTCCAAATGAAAACCTCCACGCATTTAGAAGTTGCTGGACTAAAAGCCTGACAGAGCCGGGCGTGGTGGCGCATGCCTGTAATCCCAGCACTCAGGAGGCTGAGGCAGGAGGATTATTGTGAGTTTGATCCCAGCCTGGGCTACAAGGTGAGCTCAAGACCAGCCTGAGCTGCATATCGAGACCTTGTCTCAAAAAGACAAAAACAAAGAAACAAACAAAAAA